AAACCCTCTCTTCCTTTCAAGTTTCACATCTAAGTCATTGCATGAATTTCTCAATTGTTACGCATTCCACATGTCCAGCCAATTACATATACTGGGGATAATGGGAACGACCCCTTCAAATGCCTGAGCACTGCGGGTCCCAACTTTTTTAATTGGCTTGATCTATGGACATTCTGTAGGACTCCTTGGACGAGGGATCAACCCGTCGCAAGGCCTCTACCTGTACACAGGACAGCAGAACACAGAAACACGCGGACAAACATCCATGGCTTGAGTGGGATTCGAACCCACGGTCCCAGCGACCAAACGCCACAAGGCCCACGCCTCAGACCGCGCGGCCACTGCGGACCCCGCCAATTACATATTCCTTTATTTAATCACAATAATTATATTTGGTGAACACAAGCCTATCTCAGTGTAACGTTGTCGAGCTGTTTGGTTCTTCCTCCGTCTTAGCTCCAAATGTTCTTTGCATCTCAGGAAATTTCCCGTAATGTGAGAGACCAAGTTTTAGACCCATATAAACCAACAGGTAAACTTATAGGTGAGATTACAGGTTCTCACAACGTCGAATATTTGGATATCTTGCTCTGTGTTGTTACGCCGTATAGCCTGGTAGAAGTTTACCGCAACGCCCTGATGATGGTGGCAGCAAGTACTTCTGAAACGGTGGTAGACTTATAGCAGACTACACGAGGCTACAACCCAGAAGACATCGATATTAAAGGTAAAGTAAGAGATTTGTATATTTCACTCTTTACACTTACAGATTTGTAAAAGATGACAGAAGATTTTGAATCGTATGGGTTCATAATTAATCCTAATTTGGGTAGTTTAATTTAGAAGTTCACATGAACTTATCTGCAAAAGATGCTTAAACGGAGTAAAAGCAATATTTATGCTCGGAAAATGTACTAAGTTACAAATGAAAAGCGACTATATTTTTAAAGTGTAAAACTGAATACTTTGTTCTGTCTTTGTTCCGGCAGGAAGGTCATTTCTTTCATAATTAACTGTTAGGCGATAAATCTAACATTCTCTTACCGCAAAGTGAAGGGATAATGTAAAAATTATGAATACGTTAGTCTAGTTTGCGTTTATTTGAAGCGAAATCATGTTGTGGCCTTTGCGTCTTATCACGCTTAGTCTGTCTTGTAATGTTTCTTTCCTGGTTCTGGTGTGTGAGGTGTGATAAGAGATTTATGTTCCGGTTGACTGCAGGAATTACAAGATCATTTATAGGGTCTTCTTAAATAGTTATTCGATTGTTTTTAAAAAAAAATCCCGTTAATTTATTCCTCATTTAGAGACATTTTCAGTCGCTCATATCATACAGCGTCAAATTATAAGATGGTTAGTATACAATGAAGAAAAGAACACGATTGGAACCATCTTTTAGACATTAAGTTCTGAGACGCTTGAACGTACATCTTAAATCTACTTTTGAGAACGTGGCATTGGAGACTGGTTCGCCGTGCGTATCTGCAACTTATCCGGAGCACGAGTTGGGCGGGTCAGCATAATTAAAATTTCCCAGGCGTTAAGTTTACGATGAAAAATGTTTCACTTCGGCGAACATTGTAATTGTAATTTTCAGTGTCTACCTACATTATTAGCTTGCGGATATACTGGGGGAAAAACGCATGTGATGTGTAAATTAAAGACGTTATCAACACAGGAAATGAGACAGCAAATTACAAATATTGCCGTTGAGAAATATTAGACTGTATGTGATTCCGACTGAGACATAGCAATCGGTTATAGTTCTGTTTTATTCCTGCAGAGGGAAATTGTGCTGGTTCTATAATTCCGTCGCTGCAAATTCGATTGAGACGTCGTAATCGTCCGAGTTTCGAGAGTTCGATTAAAATCTGTAGGGGGCAGTATAATATAGGTGTTGTCTGTCGGACAAGAAAAATGTGTTTATGTAGCTCCCCACTTTATCGAGTTTTCATTTCAAACAACTAAAACGGGGTATCGTTGAAAAACTATTTTTTTATTTCCGTTGAATTTTAACGGGAATTGTCTGTAATATGGTTCTTTAATGAGAAACATTTATCACAGATTCCTTTAAAAATATGTTGACAGTATACTTTTAAACTTTGAGACAAAACATATAAAGAAGAATAAACATTTTTATATACTTAAGCATTCCAAATTGAATTTTTGGCAACCTCAAATTATGTTCATAAGAATGTTTCCTCTAAAGCGTAAATGACAAAAATCAAGAGAAACTTTGTTATATCTTATTATTAAATAAAAAGTAAGGTACTTATTAAATTTCTAACATAATATGTGTCGAATATCTAACCACCTATTCCGTAGAGAAAAAATCGAATAGATCAAATATCTTGAAACATAAACACCTTTCCCATGTTACCAGCATTATTTTTAGGCTATTAAAATTACTCTCAATATTTACATTCCATCGTATTTCTGTGAGTTTCTCATGATTCGTTACGTTGTCATGTGTAAGTAGGGCCTACCTACCTGCTAATCAATGGCTTATCGGTGCAGTACCAATTATCTAAGCATGTAATTATTTATATATTCTGAACTGAAGCCGGCCAGAGTTTCAAATCCGTATCAGATTAAGAAATGTAGGATTTTAGACTATTTAGACTATATAAATTATTGTCTTGTTACTGTGGATCACATCCAAAAAAGAAACCTAGATCTATGCTACGTGTCTTGAAAGCCAACATTATTGTGCAAACGGCTTACTATATTAGCATTATATTTTGTATTTTGCGTAATATTTTTAGAGAATTAGTTACGGAGTGAGCCACAAAACAAGCAAAGAATATTACGTAACTTTTATGTCAAATCCTTGTCAGGCCGAGTCTTACAGCCAAGGTCCACGACCTAAATGGCCTGATACGTATGTAAGCAGTGTTGTTACCGTATGTACAAAAACCTTGGATATTTAAAAATACAAAGGCTTCTAATGAATTTTGACAGGTCTGTAGTGCATGTAAAGTGAATAGAATTTATTAGACTTACAGGGATGATAAAGTTTACGTTTATGGGTCCTTGGATCAGAAGGGAATAGAAGCCTATATAAACTCTAAATTTAAAATATTACAATAATTGATGTTATTGGTATTAATTTCCACAAATTGAAAGCTTTACAACGTTTACAATGCGTCTGATTTTCATTCTTAAAGTTTTAGGATTGTAAACCCCGTTGAGAATCGATTAAGACTCTTGGTTTCCCTCAGGTCCTTCAAGAAGTTCTGAAATAGCACATTAGTATGTATTATGACAGTTATTTCTCTATGTACCGATTCAAAGTTACTAATATTTCTATTGCATATTAGTAAATATTAACATAAGCAGTGATTCAAAGTAATAAAATGTTCAAGTAAACATTAAAAGCAAAGCTTGGGGTGTAGATCAATATCGTAATGATTTTAGTAAATATAGAATTTCAAAAGATAGTATAATTGCGTCATATTGTGAATCAAATATTAAATTAATTTAAAAAATATAATTGTGATTAGACGGACAAAACCGAATAATTAATAGAATTTCAAACTAAGTATAAATGTTAGTGTGTCTTATCCTTTGTGTAAGGGAGGGGGATTTACTCAAACGTAATTTGTACTGACTTAACGCCCCTCTCACCAAACATCAAAGGTACAGAGTGTACCATTTAAAATACCACAATTCCACACTACGATACAAAAAAATCAGGAATGGATCCCCACACGTGTAATAAACTGTCTCAACATCCCCTATAACACTCGATTCAAGGTCATGCTTGTTGCTAGGCCTCTGTTCACGCAAACATGGCGTATTTACTAGTAAAACGTGTGTTCATTCTCGAACATTATTTCGCATCGAAATCACTCGCTACTGTTAATTAAGCATTTAACAATCCTCTCCTGACACAATAGTTCCGAATAAGACAGCGACATTTCTGGACACAGGAAGTGTGTGACAAATGTGCATCGAGCGACGAAGCAGATGAGTTTATGGCCGTACCAATTTTAAACAATGCAGCGTTGCATTTGAGACGTAAATACAATTGTAGGATTCAAATATGAAACTGGGGGCTGTTATTTGTCCAATATATTGTCACGTGATAATCACTTTTAATTTCTGCCACTGCAATGTCTCTTGTTTTTGCTGAGAATACGAGATGCGATCGGAAAGTTTCAAGACTGTGTCAATAGAGGGCGAACCGGATGTAGTACGAGCTTCTGCCGCTAGGGGGTGCGGCCTTCATTCATAGTGAATCAGTGTGCCAGCCGGCATCATCGAATTAGCATTTGTTTCTTAGTTACGGGCGTTTTGGTAGTGCATTACACCGACCCTCCTGCGATTTCGGAATGGCGGGTGCATCAAATTTTGCCAAAGACTCGCCAAAACGGCTACGGAAACCTATGAAATGCTAAAGCAAGCATTTGGGGAAATACTTCGAAATGGGTCGTGCACAAACTTTTGTGAGGCATTC